AAAAAAGAAAACCACAATCTGATGTCAAAAGAGTGGAGAGTGGGTAGAGAAAGGCCCAGCTTCCGCCTCCGAGCAGTTCCAAGGGGATCCTCCTCATGGGACTAAGGCCCCCAACCTGACCCTATCCACAACCAAGGGCACCAACCTTAAACAGCTCCTTCCTGATGTTGCCTTTCAAGAAGTCCTTGACAAACTGGGTGTTTTCTGCCCGGTCATGTGCTTCCTTGGTCCCTTCCTTCAGGAGCTCAGAGAGGTCAGCCATCCTGTGGAGATGGGGGGAGGGGTGTGTGTGTGCGCGCGCGCGTGCACGAGCGCGTGTGCATGTGTGAACTAGCCCTTTCCAGTCTCAGGGTGTCCCCCTGCTGAGCTGGAGGCAGAAGCTGCTCAGAAACTCCACTCCAGCATCAATACAGGGTCTTGCCAGAGAGCAGGCAGATGTGAGTTGGCCCCAAGGACTTGGGTGACATGGGGGATGACTGTGGCCTACTCCTTAACAGTGTCCGTGTCTCTATGAACCACCCAAATGAACAATGCTTTGCCTCTGTGGCCACCTCGTGCCTGAGGAAACACACCTCTAATCCCACCACAGCGTTTGCTGGCTTCTCCAGGAGTGGCCAGCCTTGGGGAACATGTCTCGCAGAATCCGTGCTGCTGTGATGGACTGACGGTGTCTGTCCCAAGGCAGCCTTGCTGCCTTCCTCCCACCTTCCACCCACGGCCTCTTCAGGACTACATGGGGCTGGGCCCAGGTGTAGGATCAGAATGAGACGGGCCGAGGCAGTTGGAGCCAGGACGTAGGTCTGTATCACTTAAAATGACACAGGATGCAGTTGCGCTGACAGGTGCCACAGCCAGGACACAGCAAGGCAAACAACGCATGACCCTAAAGATGGACACACCGGGTAGCAGCTCACGCGCTCCACACAATCCATCCACCAGAGTGACAAAAACTTGGTCCCTCACGGCCCACCCTCCCTCTGCTGGCTTCTTTAGGAAAAGAATCATTTATTATTAGCAATTATTTCAAGATATAAAAAAGCACTTTGTCAGTGACAGGGCTACAACGAGACAATAAGAACAATGAAGAACAGGCTTTGGTAACTTGAGGCTTAGCATGAACTGTCCCTACCCAGTAAGAAAAATCCCTGGAGTCAGAGCTACTCCCACATTCTAAGGAGTGGAAAACACTGGTCAAGGTGCCAGTTTTGCCTAATGACGCTTTTTCAGCACAGAAGACAAAACACTTAGGGTTTTAAGAAGAAAAAAGGATCAGAAATACCATCAAATTCCATTCCTCAGCACTGCTAGCAGTGCCTGACCTGCTTCCTTGGGAACAAAGGGGGAGAATGCTCAAGCAGCCCAGGATGCTGTATGCTGTTCCTCTCTGCAGTCCCAATCAGGTGTCCTGGGCGGCGGCAGCAGCACGGCACGACCCCGACCACACCCCGGCACCCTAAGCCCACAGGACTCAACGTAGCCAGCCCCCACCACGCACCTGGCGTGGTTCTCTTTTTCTGAGGCCCCGGAGCTCTTTTTCTCCGACTCATCCACCCCCTCCGCAGTCTCCAGTTCCGCTGACATTGTTGCCGAGTGTGATTCCTGGGTGCTCACTCTTCTGGTCCTGAGGAGACACAAGGAGCTGGCGATGTGGTGCCCACGGCGCCACTTCCCCCAAACACCTGCTGGTGCTGCTCTCGTCTGAGCCAACATAATGGAGGAGTCACCCACGTGCCTTAGAGTGTTTTCTTTAAAAAATAAAGCTCTGCCATTACTGGGACCATTATCTGAGCATGGACAAAATTTAAATATGGACAGTGGATTAGGTAATAGCATCGTATTGATATTGAACCTGCTGATTTTTATAAATTGTACTGTGATTATGTACGAGAATGTCTTTGTTTTAGGAACTGTATCCTGAAGTTTTTAAAAGTAAAGGAGCACACTGTCTGCAAGTTACTGTAAAATGGCTCAGAATGTGTGTGCGCGTGCATATACGTAATAGAGAGAGAGCGGGAGGACATACCAAGTAAAAGCAAATGAGGCAAAATGCTGGTGGTGAATTTGGATAAAAGGTACACAAGAGTTCTTTGTACCATTCTTACAACTCTTCTGTATGTTTGAAATTACAACAAAATTAAAAGTTACCTAAAACACAAAATAACAACATCACAGATAAAGCTTAGAACAAAAACAAGCAGCGGCGGGAATAGCGGCTCTGAGTCGGGCAGCAAGGGCATCTGGGCTGGCCTGTCCCAGCTGTCACCGGCAGGCCAGCCTTGTGCACAGACCAGTTCGAAAGGCACTAGACAAGCAGTATCAGGTACATGGAGTCACCACAAGCAGACCAGCCCCAGCCTACCCCTGACTCGGCCGGGCTGAAGGAAATAAAACAAGCTAGCCAGTCAGTTCCCAGTGCTGCTGCCAGGGCCGAACCTTCGTCAGCCAGGGAAATAGAGTCTCACAAGACAAGCTAACCTCCCACCCCCAGAGGCCTCTATCTGGCAGTGCAAAGGAGCAGCCCATCTGGGGAATTTTCCAGATGAACAGTAGCACAGTTGCACCAGCTACTAAAGGAACTTACAAAACCAGAGCTACCCAATCAAGCCAAGGAAAGAAGAGGCCTTCATTTTCTACCTCCACCAGTACCTACTTATTGAGCATTTTCTACATGTTCCACCCAGAAACAGGAGTCTAGGGGGACAAAAAGTTTAAGTAATGGTCCTTCGAAGGTATAAAGAAGAAAATAAAAACCAACCTCCATCTCACCCCACAGATAAACTCATTGCTAGTATGTTGGTATATATCCTGAGTTTCTTCTAGGCTTGTAATTACATTTTATCTTTTCAGATATTATAATACATGGTTTGCTTGGCACGCTTTTTCTGAACCTTCACACCTTTAGATTTAGCATTTATACAGTGGGATTAATGACAGGAAGGATTAAGTGAGAACAGGGAAGGTAGTAAGGCTTTTAGCACAGTGCCTACCACATGGTAAACACTAAATATTAGATATTATTTACGTTTGTATTTTGATAGAGGTGTTTTTTTAAATTTTATTTATTTGACAGAAACAAAGCGAGAGAAGGAACACAAGCAGGGGGAGTGGGAGAGGGAAAAGCAGGCTTCCCGCTGAGCAGGGAGCCTGATGCGGGGCTCGATCCCAGGACCTTAGGATCATGACCTGAGCCGAAGGCAGACGCTTAACAACTGAGCCACCCAGGCCCCCCCGCTTTTTAAAAGATTTTATTTATTTGACAGAGAGACAAAGCGAGAGAAGGATATATTTTGATAGAGGCTTAACTGATGTTGTCCTAGAATGCTTAGAAAATAAAGAGCAGAAAGTGAAATGAGCCAGGCAAAGACATACATGGTATCACTTGTATGTGGAACCTAAAAAAAAGATTTAAGGGGTGCCTGGGTGGCTCAGTCGGTTAAGCATCTGCCTTTGGCTCAGGTCATGAACCCAGAGTCCTGGAATCGAGCCCCACATCGGCTCCCTGCTCAGTGGGGAGCCTGCTTCTCCCTCTCCCTACCGCTCTGCCTACCTGTGCCCTCTCTGTCAAATAATTCTTTAAAAAAATAAAAATTTCAAAATAAAAAAAAGATTTAAGTCATAGAAACAGTAGAATGGTGGCTGCAGGGGCTGAAGGTGGGGACAATAGGGAGAGGTTGGTAAAAGGGTACAAATTTTCAGTGACAATTAAGGCCTGAGGACCTAATGAACAGCATGGTGACTAGAGTTAATAATTTACTACATAATTGAAATTTGTTGAGAAGTGTAGCTTTTAAGCATTATTACAAAATAATATGTGAGGTGATGGATATGGATTCAATTGTGGAAATCCATAATTATAGATCACGTTGTACACTTCAAATATATTGTAATTAACTTGTCAATTATATCTCAATATGCTGGGAAAAAAAAAAAACCCAGTATATATAGTAAATGGGACCTTCTCTTGACTCCAAATCAGATATATTCTCATCTCCAATAATAATGATGAACTGTGCAGTTCATTAGTGTTAAGTCCAGAATGTGAAGGTAGGTGGTCATCACATGGAGAGAAGAGTATTCAGAGGGCTTCCTGAAGAAGAGAGGGCTTACCCAGGACCCTCAATGACAGACAGCATTTGGGTGAGAGAGGAAGGGCCTCTAGATCAAGGAACAACATGAACAAAGTAAAATGGGACAGATCACAGAGATGGTGTAAGGCTGCCCAGCTATGCATCCTGCATTCTTTTACCAAGGGGCCAAGGTAGACTTTGTCGACTGCAGAATAAGCCCCACACCAGCTTGTCCACACTGACCTCTTTTTACAGACTTTTAAGAAAGAACATCTCAGCTCTATGTCCTTGGTGACCCTGAGAGCCAAGATTTATCCTGGGCCACTCAGCACGCAGGCTGCTGAGAGAAAAGGGGGCTGGATAGGAGCTGTGGGCCACCCAGTGGAGGGAAGAGGGCAGAGTAAAAGGTCCCAGAGCCTCTAGACAGGTGGAGGTGCATATGGCCATGCAGAAGACATACCCCAGGCACCTGAAGACTGCAGGTCCCATGCTGCTTGCATGTGAAACTAAAAGTAGGCAGACAAGAACAAGTGCAATCTGGTTGTCTAGGTTACTAGTTATGGTAAGTTAGGTAAACTTCCTGCACCTAATTATCACGCTGCACAACAGTGATTATGTATGTGATTAATCTGATCATTAATTGTTTTGTTTGATAACTACACACTCTGGGAGGGCATGGTCTTGCTCTGGGAGGGCATAGTCTTGCTGGAGCAACAGGGCCTTTTGCTTATCTTAAAAATACAAAGGAGAGAGGAGCACCTGGGTGGCATAGTTGGTTAGGTGTCTCTTGGTTTGGGCTCAGGTCATGATCTCAGGGTCCTGGAATCCAGTCCCCGCACTCAGCCACGAGTCTGCTTAGGTTTCTCTCTCCCTCCGCCCCTCCCCTACTCTCTTGCAAATGCTAAAATAAATAAATCTTAAAAAAAAAAAAAGGTAGGAAGGGAAAGCCAGCTTCCACAGATGTCTTCTCATTACCACTTTGTGCCAGTCTCCCTTTGGGTACACTTTCCTCCCACGTTCTTCAACCCCAGTCCTGCCTGAGAGCCCCTAATTCCCTCCTCTCAGCTCAAAGGAGGCCCAACTCTGGCTCCAGAGGGAGGGCCATAGCTGTCTCTTTCACTGGTGGAGTTCCAGAGCCCAGAAAATAACAAGTTCTCAACAAACACTTGCTGAATAAAAAATCCAAAGGAGGGGCACCTGGCTGGCTCAGTCGGAAGAGCATGCAACTCTTGATCTGAGGGTCATAAGTTCGAGCCCCACACTGGGTGTAGAGATTATTTACATTAATAAAAACTTAAAAAAAAAAAATCCAGGGGCGCCTGGATGGCTCGGTTCTTGGGCGTCTGCCTTCAGTTCGGGTCGTGATCCTGGAGTCCTGGGATCCAGCCCCGCATCAGGCTCCCTGCTCAGCGGGGAGCCTGCTTCTCCCTCTCCCACTCCCCCGCTTGTGTTCCCTCTCTTGCTGTGTCTCTCTCTGTCAAATAAATAAATAAATCTTAAAAAAAAAAAAAAATCCAAAAAGGAAAGGCAGGCAGGCAGTGTTCTCATGCATACTGCCAACAATACGGCACCTGTGGACAACAAAAAGTTATCGGCTGTTGACTACTTCAATAGTTTTCTAAACTCCAAATATGATTTAACAATTTTGTTTTGAAAGAAAAATAGATACTGTCCTACTCCAATTAGAGGCAAGAATACTAAATCCTTAATGTGAACTAAAAGCACCATCTACACAGACGGGAAGAAGGTTCTGGGGAAAGCTCCATTAGCACATTCAACCCACACAAGTAGGGCCCAGGGAAGGCAGCCTTTGTCCACCTCTGTGGCCTGGTCACTGTTCTTCAAGGGAGTGGCTGTGTGGGGCAGCATGCAGAAACCACCTTGCAATGTCAGAAACAGAATTCACTTCATTCTCTGAAAAGCTACGTGTCCAAACTTGGTCTGACTGGCCTCTACACTTGAACCCTTTTTTTCTTTGCAGCAACCACTGGAATCCCTAGAAAATCAGAAACCAAATCATAAACGTAGAAATTTTCTAGACTTCAACCTCTCATTATCAACAAGCTGCTGCCACACTCCCCCTGGGGTCTGCTTAGGTTTCTCTCTCCCCCTTTTGTTGTTGAAAAACAACAAAAAAACATTCCACTCTGGGAAATACACTTCAAGATGTATTAATAGTAATCTGTAACAAAATGGTAGGTAGCCATACTATGATGTTACAAAAAAAGTCACACAGCCTAACAATACAGGGTAGGATTGCTCGAAGGACCGTAAACAATAGAATCCTGGCACAGATGGGAAAAGTTGATAGGCTGCATCCACTATGGAAAAGTCTACATACACTTGTTTTACCTAAAAGACTCAAAATACTGACTACAAGTATGTGCAAAAGTATGTAAGTAAAAGTGGCACCTGGATGGCTCAGTCAGTTAAGCATCCGACTCTTGATTTCAGTTCAGGTCATAATCTTAGGGTTGTGCGATTGAACCCTACATGGGGCTCTGTGCTCAGCCGGGAGTTTGCTTATGGATTCTCTCTCTCCCTCTCCTCCCACTCGCACACGTGTTCGCTCTCAATCTCTAAAATAAATAAATAAATCTTTAAAAAATATATATATCTATATATACAAAAATGAAAAAACAAAGTATCTAAGTATACTGATAACAGGAAGGTAGTTTGGAAAGGTATAAACACTATTTGTTTGACTTTTTAGCTAATTGGCTCCTTCTTTTATATAAAGTGGCCCAATTCTCTTGAAAAGGCGGGGGGAAGACGGGGAGAGAGACAGACAGAGGAACTGGACCAAGCAAACCAGCTAAGGTAAGATATTGCACTAACTAGTCCATAGGAAGTCACCTGGGCCTTTACTTTGCTCTTACAAATTTCAGAAAGGTCCATCTGCCCTCTGTATTTTAATTCCAGAAAACTGTGACCCTCTGTTTATAAAATCTACCTCCATAACTCCCGTACTAGCTGTTCACCTGACAGGTTTTTACTCCAGCACCAGATATGATAGAAGTAGCAACAATGTCCCATCACCAATGTTCCTTCCAGCAAAGGAAGTTCCTGTGGACCTGCCCAGCAGATCCAGAACATTTACTTCAAAGCCTTTGTTCCTTGTAAATTGCAGGCTCAAGGCACTAGGGCTCTTGAAAGAACAGACGTGTTCACAACTTTTTTTTTTATTATATCCTCCTCCATGGACACGTCCTACAAACTTTAGAAAGTGCAATGCTGCCAGACAGGATTACATTATCACTCATTCCCCATTTGTTAATTCAAAAAGCCACAGGGGCGCCTGGGTGGCTCAGCTAGTTAAGCATCTGACTCTTGATTTCGGCTCAGGTCATGATCTCAGAGTCGTGAGACCAAGCCCTGTGTCAGACCCCCACTCGGTGGGAAGTCTGCTTGAGATTCTTTCTCTCCCTCTGCCCTTCCCTGCGCTTGTGCTCTCCCTCTAAAATAAATAAATCAAAAAACAAAAGGCACAAAAAAGACTTAATCTATAATAATTCTTTTCCATTTGGATTCTTTTTCTTTGCCCTGGAAAACCACTGAAAAAGGGAGCAGGTTGCTGAGCTCAGCCAGCACTAGACAGCAAGGTGGGGGAAGGGGTAAGAAAACGCATGGCAACCAGCTCCCTGAAATTAGAACAACTCTCCCACTCCGGAATTGACAGTGACCAGCCACAGATGCCCACATGAGCTAGTGTTGTTATCCTAATGTGCAGAGGAGGAAACCGCCACAGGGAAGGCGTAAGCAGCTGCTCAGACTCCTGTACTGGGTCGGCCATAGCTCCCACCCCTCCCCACTAAACAGCCTGTGGTTGGGCACCAGGAGTGCCTGCCTGCTTACCAGAAGGCTGTTCCCAGCTCAGAGTTTACTCCTGTATAGCACTGGCATCACATTAATAAGAGGTGATTATTCTTCAGCTTTCACAAGTGCTGTCATCATGTTTCCCCAGTTAAACCAGAAGCTTCCTACAAGACAGATCATCAAAACTCTCTCAGACTCAAGTTTCTCAGAGTCCAATGCCATGTTCCAAATTACTTACAAGTCAGTACCCTGGGCAGTCTCCAACTTGAGTTGTAACTGATGTAGATGCACAAACAGAATGCCCACTGAGAATGCTAGCTAAATGGGGGTGGGACAAGAAAATATTGGTTAAATTCTAAAATATCGGGGGTGCCTGGCTGGCTCAGTTGGAAGAGCCATGCGGCTCTTGATCTTGGGGTCGGGAGTTTGAGCCCCACTCTGGGTGCAGAGATTACTAAAAAAATAAATAAATAAATACCAAATAAAATAATAAAAATTTTAATTGGGGAAAAATTTTTTGATTGGGTATTAGGCCTCTAACTGGTATGTAATCTGGTTTTCTTTCTTCATATCTCCCTCCCTCCCTCCTTCCCTTCCCTCTCTCTCTTTCTTATGGTCTGAATTTTCTACCTGATGACCTGTTTGTGTTTCCCATGCCTCTAAGCTGGCCAAGGCCATTCTCATCCCATAGGGCCCAGTTAGGCTGGGTTCTGCATTTACCCAGCTATGTTGTGTTTTCTCTACTGCTCCCCTCCTGGGGCTCCAGAAGGCCCAGGGTCTCCCCTGTAGTCCCTGCCTCAGCTGTTCTCTTCACATCAGAGCTAGGCACTGGCTCCCTGGCCCCCTCTGAGCCCTCTGAACAGGCCTAGTTCAACGTGCACTCCCCCGCCCCGGGAGGCTGCTTCTCACCCAAGTGCCTATGAGGGTAGGCACTCCACTGGCCTCTGCTTATTTTTTCTTAGCCAGCACTAGAAGTAATGAGGACTCCAGTTTCTTTTCTTTCTTTCTTTTTTAAGATTTTATTTATTTGAGATGGAGAGAGAGCACAAGCAGGGGGAGCAGCAGAGGGAGAGGGAGAAGCAGGCTCCCTGTTGAGCAGAGAGCCCAATGTGGGGCTCAATCCCAGGACCCTGGGATCATGACCTGAGCCGAAGGCAGATGCTTAATGGACTGAGCCACAAAGGGGCCCAGGACTCCAGTTTCTTTTATCTGAAGGCCTACCTCTGGTCACTGGTACAGGTTCCTTCCCACTGCCCATGGTTTTGTGTGTGTTTTCTGCTTTTGCATTCAATAAATACCTTTCAATTGTATACATCTTTGTCTATGATCTCACCTCACCCACTTATATTGTGACATTCAGGAGGGTCACAGTTCAAAAATAATGTATTACCTCTCACAGAAACCATGTTCATTATGTGCCCCATAAATGTTAGAATACAAGAATCCCAGACTCTCTCTTTTCTGGATTATAGGATCTGTTCCTTCTCTATATGCCCTAAAGGCTTTTCATATTTAAGTGAGAGAATACCTGTTCCCATTTACCAATACCATAAATCAGGCCGTGTCAATTCTTAATGATGCCACATAGTCCCATGGGGCCTCAGCAGATATAAATAAATAGATTGTTTACCTAAAAATTCTTTTCTGAATATGTGTCAACATAAAAAGAGTAAATTCTAACATCCTACGTATAAACCCTTTATATGATCTGGGAACAAAGAACCCTAGAGCTACTATTGAGAGAAGAAACCGGGGACAGGAAGGTACATCTCTTCAGAGCCTCCAAATCTCTCTCTATATTTTTCACCTGTAGGAATGAATACTTGCCCAGTGTTCCATACCAAAAGACCACTGGGAGGATCAAATAAGATGATGACTGTGAAAACACTTGATAATAAATGTTAAATTATACAAATGCTACAAAAGGAATTGAGTATGAACCCAGAACTATTTACTAGCTGGTCTGCCCTAAAAGACACTCCAGGTTCAGCTTTTCAAACCTTACTAAGACACCAAGAAACTCTCAAGAGGAGGAAAAAGCCCTGTTCCTGGATGTGGTGTGGACAAGAATTTGTTCTCCTTGGCACGGTTAACAATCCAGCATTGATAAGGGTAAACCCCGCACCAAGGGCCAGTTTTGCATGCCATTCAGTGAATGGACATGCAGAAGTGCCATCTGCCTAAGGTAAACAGCCACTTGACTGGCCCTGCTCTGCTCCCAGACCTCAGGGAAGCTGGAATGTAGAGAGGGACAAGGGAGTGACACTCATGGACCTGTCAGTTTACTGGGGCACTTCTGGGCTCCTGCTAACTACTGATTATTGCTATAGACTCAGCTCACCTTTGGGAATGGAAAGGCAACTGGGCCTTGCACAAAGGGAGTGGTCTTTAGAGTTTTAAAGATTTGGGATTGAGATCTGGACTCCCAATGTTTAGTAGCTGCATGGCTGTAGTAAGTCATAACTCCTTGAAGGCTGAGTCTCCTCATCCATAAATAGGGTAACTCCCTTTGCCTCACATTTTCAAGTGCGCTATAAGGACTAAATGAGCTAATGTGCCTATGTTTCATGAAATGTAAGGCTGCCTCAAATGTTGATGGTCTCTTACCGAAGAAGCTGCTGAAGAAAATGAGCAGCTAAGGGGTGCTTGGGTGGCTCAGTCGGTTAAACATCTGCCTTTGGCTCAGGTCATGATCCCAGGGTCCTGGGATTAAGCCCCCACATCGGGCTCCCTGAGGGAGCCTACTTCTCCCTCTCCCTCTGCCTGCCACTCCCCCTGCTTGTGCGCCCTCTGTCAAATAAATAAATAAAATCTTTAAAAAAAAGAAAGAAAAAAAGAAAATGAGCAGCCGAGTGATTATGAAACACTAAGATAACAAAATCCCAGTGAATCAACAGATAATTCTGAGCAGGTCACACCCAAGGTCTTCTGAGTTGGCCCTCATTCTCTGGCAGTGCCAGAAAATGGGAATACCTGTTCTTTCCAAGGAGAGACATGTGACCACTGCAGCTAGAAAATCCTCATTGCAGATGCGGGCTGAGTCAGATGCTGGGAGCAGTGGATGGGGGTGAATCCGCTCTAACCCAACAAGGCACCTGGTAAGAGGTGCCTCCCAAAACTCTGAGGAAACCATATCATCTAGGTCAACAGCTTTTTAGTTTATACAAGGAATGGCCTGGAGTCTCCGCTGAACTCTGGTGCTGCCACTCCTTAGGAAATCTTACAACCTTCATCCCTTTCATTTTAATCACTGGGTGAATTCAATCCCACAGTTCACTGACTGGATGACTATTAACCTCTTGATAAAGAGCGAGTTTCAGACAAGGAATCCTGGGAAAGTAGAGGCTCCAGGGACACAAAACTCTTGCATCAGATTTACTAAGCACACATTTGCACATCTGCACAATAAGCAACCCGAAAACAAAACTACTACTAGTCCAAAGGCACTAGCCTCTTAGTAACCTCAGAAACTGACCGCTCAGGAAGTCCAAAACTTCTTGGGCAAGCTCTCTTTTTACCGGGGACGGGGGTGTACTCATCTCCAGCATGTTAAAATACAACTGAGCAAGCATTCAAAAGCAGACATTGGGGATGAAACCTGAAGCACTGAAAAGAGCACAGAGTAGGTAGGGGCCAAGAGTCTACTGTTGCTGCTGCCAAAGAGAAGTCCTGGTAAAAAGACTTCCTACTATGAATGAAATAAGTATGAGACTCTCCTGTTCCCTGAGCGTCACCCCACCTCATATGAGAGGACCAGGACTCAGGGCTGAGAAGAGGAAGACTCTTTCCCATGAGAAGCACCTGGGGTGGGGGCTGAAGCCCTGACTGAATTCTAAAATGGATAGGACCACATTTTATAAGAATCAAGCCTAGGCACCAGACATCCCACAAGGGCTGGTTTTAGCAGAGGAAATGCCGTCATGACCATGAGTCACCCCTAGGTACCATCAAGTGAAAATTATTCCAACTTTGGAACAATCCTGAAAACATGTCCTGTGCCTTAAGTGGAGTCATTATTCCCTTTCGCTCAGGTGTAACAGTTGTCACATGTGGCTTCAGCTTCTCTCATAAATACGATGACTACGAACAGCATTTAGGGGTGGAGGGAGAGTGGCTAATTAGGATGCTTCTGTGGAATCTTCATTTTGGAAAATGAGGTGCTATCGGCTCCCAGGTGCTTTCCTCTCTACAAAGAGACTCAACAGAGGCTCAGCAGCACCCCTGTAAGAACAGAAGGTCCTCAAATCCACCCTGGGAGGATGGTAGAGAGGAAGAGCGCCAGACCGAACTCTAACAGACCTGGGCACACCAGACTAAGTCACTTTCAAGCAGTGTCCCAATGACGAGGAAGAAATGAAGATTCAGAGATTTAAGTAATATGGCCAAGGTCACTTAGAAAGTTAATAATGGAGTTGGGACCAAGTCCTTCCTGAATTCAAGCTCATTCCTCCTGTGTCCCAGCTAACATGCATGTGCAATTAGTATGATGTCACCACAGAATACTAGCAAAATGGAAAATGAGGCTATATTACACTGCATTTACGTGTGCAATGGAAGGGTTTTCTAAACCACTGAGTGCCATTTGTTTTTTAGTATGAAAAGTTAGCTCAATCCTATGATTTCTGAGAAGTAAATGCTCAGCCTCCCATTTGAAGCTTCAGAAGCTGGTGCTGCCCATCCCACAACACTCACCTTCACTTGCTCAGATTACACGGCAACCCGAGAAGATTGTTCCCTGACGAGTCCTGCTTTTGTTGACTAGCAGGGCAGGCCAAGGCTGGAGATAGCTGGTCCCAGAGGCAAGGACAGCACCTCTACCACTCAGTGCATGAAGGGAAGCAGCCAGATCTGCCAGGCCTTGGTGGACAATGAAGCCAGAGACTCATGGCATCCCTGCACCAAGGAGAGGTCACAATAGGATCTGCACATCTCTATACCATCTATCACCATAGTAACTACAGAGAAATAGAAGATCTGGTTTCAAGAATCTAAAAGCATGTTCTCCATGTGCTGAGTGTTTAAAATCTATTCAGTCCTGGGGTGCTCGGGTGGCTCAGTCGGTTAAGCACTGGACTCTTGGTTTCAGCTCAGGTTGTGATCTCATGGGTCGTGGGATGGAGCCCCGCTTCCGGCTCCACCCTCAGCAGGGAATCTGCCTGGAGACTCTCTCCCTCTGCCCCTCCCTGCCTCATAAATAAATAAATCTTTAAAAAAAATCTATTTGGGGGCGCCTGGGTGGCTCAGTCGTTAAGCGTCTGCCTTCGGCTCAGGTCATGATCCCAGGGTCCTGGGATCGAGTCCCACATCGGGCTCC